TACTTCTAGAGACTACGCCACAGCTTTTCAGATCCATTACCGATCTGAGCGAAACTAAAATCAATCGTCGCTGATTATTAAAAAAAAAAAAACTGTATTCTGATTTCCGAAATATAATAATTGTGTAATTAGGACCAGTACTGAAATATATTTCAAGTTAGAGCAAAGACATGAATCACAAAAATGATGGGAAGGAATTGCATCGACCTTGGTTGAGAAGGGGAGGCTAAACATCTAAATTGCATGCACGGAAAGAAGGTATTACTTTTATAATGGACGACGTTGCGTCTTTATCTTCGTTACATCCTAAATCCGCTCCACATGTCACAATCTATTTACCACAGTGCAGAAGTGAAATAACAACAAAAAGTTCTCCTTGTGCACTATGCTCCAAAAAATAATAATTATCCTTCAATTCAATTACCGCACGCACTTTGATGATGAGCACTTAATTAATTTACATTCGATTTAATGAATAACTAAATAACGTTTATGGTACTGGCTTCGTACTGGTAATAGTAATCCAAATAAACCGGCGGAATATTTTTAGGTGGAAGTGTTGTGAACGTGGTGCAATGCAGTCGGCTCGTAGACTGAATCAGACTGCGTCTGCTCAGCTGATGTAGGAAGAGGAAGAGGAGGCGAAGGCGGGCGCTTGGAAAAGATATATATATATTTCGTAAGCGTTTTCTGTGGCGACTATATGGAATAGAGTGAAAAATAGAAATAGAGTTCTTCTCTGCACTCCGCAAGATTACTTCGTTTTTTTTAATTCACCCGGGGGGTATGAAATGTTAGAAATGTTTAATGCTTACCTGGTGATTTGTTGGTGATGGGATCGGGGCGGAAGAGTAGCTCGATATCACTTGGGTGGCTATTTCTTGCACTTGCTGGGCCTGTTGGACCAGGCTGCGCATTTCCGCCCTCAGGGCTTCATATTGTGACACCGGTACCGAAGACATCACACAAAATCACCTGAAACCAAACGAACGAAAAGAACAAATCTCAGAATTAGAATAGGCGTTATAAATACGCGCTGCAAGCCTAAAATTAAGCGAAGCAATTACATTGCGTGTCACCTCGGTGTATAAAAACAAAACACCACTCCGGCAATTGAACTAATGAAAGACAAAGTGAGGTAATATCAACTGCACACAAACATGTTTAACTTTGCTATTAGTTTTAGATACACACCTCACTAACTCATTCGATTACGCATAGAAAAAAATAATAAGTGTATGGCATACGTTCGCAAATTCAATTCGCGAATGACGACAAATTGGCAAATGCGCCCAAAAGCGTGACTCACATCAATTAAAATCTTCTTAATTGTTTAATTTCGTCGGTAGTTTGGAGTTCATGCGGCGCCGCGCATTTTGTTCTGAAGAGATCGTCGAGCCGTGAACACCAATGTCGTAGAAGCAGCTAATTGGAAAATAATCTATTATATGAAAGGCAATCAGACAATTTTATGGAAAACGTTCAAAGTATAAACAGATGATAATAATTATCAGCAGCATAAATGATTTCATTCAGATATCATCAAAGAGACACATTTTAATGTTATTAATATGCAACGAAACGGACGTGCTATTTATTAAAAAGTCAAATATATTTCAAGAGGTGGAAGAATTGACGCATTGAAGATGTAACTATAAGTGCATTGTCTCCGCGAGAACAAAGAATGAAACATTTTCGGAATACTTAATTCCGCATTGTGTATTCAAACACAATTGAATTGAATCAATCTTTCTCCGTGGTCGTTGTAGATTCTCGTTTTATTTACGGAATATGCGAGCTGAAGAGCGGCCCCGTGTGTTGTTTCCGTATATGGGATGGATATATGCACGTAGATATTCACTTTCACACATTGGTGGATCGAGAGTGTGGATTGTGCATGTAAATCGAAGAGGAAATGGGAATTTTTGCTAGAGGTTTCCCACGACACACCACAACAACACCGATACTCGAATCAGTTTCGGCTATGCGTATTTTTTCAAATATGCAATACTTTCTCGAAAATAAAAATATGCCTCCGGTCATTGAAAGAAAGGCGTTCTACTAACACAGTAATCATAGATTATACGGAGGGAAAGAGAATGAGAAATAATACAAAATTACAAGCAATGACGGGAGAGAATAAAAAAAGAAAGAAAAGAAGAAACGAAATAGGCGAGTCGAATTTCTAATTGAAATTAGAGTCGACAGCTTGCAAATTACTGAATGTAATCAAATAAAAGCAGTTAATTTACATGTTGAACGAAGCACGAAGAAAAATTATATCTTTGTTTTGTGGTTACACTCATTGATAGAAACCTATGATTATTAACATAATCGCATATTAAATAACTAATCCTTTAAACTCAATGCAATATTCTTAGTTAAACAGCTACAATATTCATATACGATCAATAATATTATTTGCATTTTTTTTAACACTTTTTGATATCACGAAACTTCAATTCAGCACTTGGATAAACAGAATAATCCTGAAAAATTGAGGTCTGTAACATAAGAATAAACCGGTGATGAAGATACAAAAGAGAAACATATTTGAAACATAAAAGGAGCTGTAAAGGATATAACTAAAGCTTATCTCTTTAAGGGCGTCTTCGCACACTTCTTGTAAAGCCTGTAATAATATGCACCCCTGCGTGTCCTGGTTTCAACTTGATTCAAGTTAGGCATGTCGTTAATCTTACAATTCTATATCTAATAATGAATTGTATTTTTTTTTCAAGTCTAGACAATCCAACTATGAAAAACAATTCAATCAAAATTATTTGGACCTTTTGGTAGAGGTCAATTACCTAAAAAGATGAAAGTAAAATAATAAAATTTGTACGACTCTTAGGACTAAAAAGAGAACCAGTTGGTAAATACGTACGTATATGGAATCATAAACAGTTTCGTATATGAGAACTATCGAGGACAGTTGAGAGGTCGAAGGCCGTTCTTGTTTACAAACAGGATTAATTATCTAAACACTGTAGTTTGTTCGACTTCAAAAATAAACAAATTCCTTAAGCATATAAGATTTTATAAACTAGTGATGATATCTGATTGTTTAAGAATATGATGTTATTATTTTGATAGCAATTCAGCAAAAAAAAAAACAAACAAACATTGAATATGAGAAATAAATTTTACAAATATACAATAAATATTTAAAATTCAAGAAATAAATAAATATGGGTGGTAAGCCATTAAAACTTATGAATAGTATATAATCTTCTGTTACATGAAGATTCCTTTTGAACAATTTCTTTATGTCTTAGAAACACAACGTGAGCGATTGATACAATTTTTACTAGAGCTTTTGCCATTTTTTTCAGGTGTAAAACTTATAGCAATATTTGCAGATTCAAATTGGAATTTATAATCGAAATATGATTTAATCTGTTTTATGCACTGGAGACATTGCAAAAATGATCAAGGCCACTACAATATAATAAATACAGGGAAACTGCGACACATGCTTCAAGTAAATTTGCGAATTATCCGTGCAAAGCTAAAGGATACACAGTTTGTGCTAAAACTAACACATTGTAAACAACTGGATAGTTGACCTGCTTAGCTCAATTAGAGGCATGTGTTCTGCATTACTATAATACCATGGATTACTTCCTGAAGTACGCTTTTGAAAAGTTTCGCATTGAATCTTAAATAAATATATTGAATCATGAACGTATTAAAGGTCTAGAATTTATTAAAAATATCTCTGACGTAAAATAACTATACAATATCTATATAACAATAAATACATTTTCTGGTTTGTAATTGTGCAAAATTTTAGAATATTCTGAAACAGACATCGATCGATCTGAGGCAATTGTCGCTCTATGAATATTTTATGAATAGGTAAAAAAAACACCAATTCGCTAGTATTTGCAAAGACAGTAATTATAATTAATGAAACATACATCATTTATATAACAACCGATAGTCGCAATGCGTTCTAGAGAAATAATGTATCTTTGTAGATGAAATATGGAAATGTTATACAACTAATTATGCAAATTGTCTCCTGGTGATTCATAACATGATAGTCCCAAAAACAACTGCATAAAGTTTGGCCCAATTCAATTTGTAGATATTAAACGACCAGAGATATTACGTAAAATAGAAAAAAAATGGATCAAGTGTGCACTTGTGGCTAAGTTCTTGCGATCAGGGATAAGGTGGATATCTTTTCCTAGCTGCTGGGTTTTTGCAATACAAACTTTATCGGATTTCGAGGTGCACATACTGAAAGAAAAAAAGTTGTAAGCGAAACGAAATCCAGATAAAATGTGTGCAATATACATGGATGGAGACCAGAAAGTGGGATTATCGATTTTCAACGTGTGCAGCGGGGGTGGGACTCGTAAATACCAACCACCTTTTCCCCAAAGTAGGGGAAACAACCCACCACCTAGCAAAAGAGAAATGTCAGAAGTATAACAATAATGCATGACATTCTGTATGTATAGTAATAAATTGTAATATAAAAACAATAGTTGCTATGAAAAAATAACAAAAGAATACTTGGGGGTTCCAATTGGATTGTAAGTTTTCGTATAGTTTTTAGACTAAATTGCATCTTACAACTGGCAGCCCCTTGTTATTTTTGATATTAAGGGTCCTTACCATGATTTTGCCGAGATGAACTCCCGTTAAAAACACAAAAATTTGGATTTGTAACCAAGGCAGAAGAGACAGGGGAACCGTCCCTCACGAACGCACACACATTACTGAAACAACTTCGGGTCAATTCAGGTTTACCAACCTTTTCAAAATGCTATTTAATTATTTAAAAATGACTAATTTATAAGCTAGCTAACTTGAATGTAATTAGATAATAACTTTTATATTAAAGCTCATGTAACGATTACATTAAATCGCATAGGATGAGTCATTCAAAACATGTTTTGATGAAACGGGGTAGATAATCTATACAACCAAGTATACAATGATAAGAGATTAAAAGTTTATTTCGTTATTATTTACAGTGTACTTAAGTACTGAAATTGAAAATACATTCAGCTGCTGATTTTCTTAAGCTTAATATCAAGCATTCTTGATTTCGAAATTTAACTGAATATATTATCTATAAAAATAAATTATTTGGCTATTTACAAATTATAAATAAAGTTTAAAAAATAAATTCCGTTATCTATCTATGGAATCCCAGTATTCCTGAGTTTGCATCTCCGAAAGTCTGGAGACCGTGCGTTCGAAAGCGAAAATTTCCTCGTCACCAGTGAATACGTTCGCCCTTAAATTGTCGTCTCCTTTGCCCAGTTTCAGGTCGTCCATAAGCATCCTATGTTCATCAGAAGGATCGGCGTTCGGGTCTTCCTGCTGCGATGAAAACAGTTGTCTCAAAGGAACATCCGCGCTGACAATGACCCTGACTCTGTTATCGTACAGAGCGTCGATCAGAGTGATGAATCTCCTAGTCTGAGATCGCTTTCTTAAGCTCAGCTGAGGAAGTTCCCTGATGATTATCGTGTGAAAGAATTGTGTTAGATGCAAGTAGTCAATAGCACCCAAAGGTCTATCGCAGAGTTCGTCGAACGTGGTGTCTAGTACTTCTCCGCAGGTCTTGTTGAACGCAACGTTTCTCCCTTGTATGGTGAACGTACGTGGTCTCACAACATCGTTCTCCTTGGCGCACAGGATTTTAAACAGCGTATCAACTGGATCCTCTTTGGAGTGTTCGTTCTGGATGAAATAGTGCGTCTGACCCGCCTGACCTTTCAACCTGTAATCAACGCCCGAGTCCAGATTAATGACATTGCAGAAATCTTTTAGCACTTGAATGAATGGTATAAAATTGGACCTCTGCAGTCCGTTCTTGTACAGGTCATCCGGTGGCCTGTTGCTCGTAGCAACCACTACAATCCCGTTATCAAATAATTGCGTGAACAATCGTTTTAAGATCATAGCGTCGGCAATATCGGTCACTTGGAATTCGTCAAAGCAAATCAGCCATGCCTTATCTCTGATTACCTTGACGACAGGCGGGATTGGATCGAAACGCTTGGGTTTCCTGAACTCGTGATCTGGTACTGCTGAACTTTGCTTTGTGGCGTGGATCTCCTTGTGTACATTCAGCATGAACGCATTGAAATGCACCCTCATCTTATCGTCGTTAGTCACGCACTTGTAGAAGAGATCCATCAGCATAGTTTTACCACCTCCGACTGCCCCATAGATGTACAGCCCTTTGGGACCTTTCTTTTTCTTTCCAAATAGTCCACTGAATAGCCCCTTCTCCACAGGTTTATAATCCTTAATATCATTGTAGACCTTCCCCAATGCATCACACACATTGGCCTGTTGCTCATCTCTCAGCAACTCACCATTCTTGATCCTCTGCATGAGGGCATCTTTTGGCCCTCGACTGTAGTCAATATTACTTGATGCTGTTGATTTACACCTGGCAGGTATATATATCAAATTTAGCTTCCTAGCTAAATTTCCAAAGGGGGCCATGGTCACTCTAAAAAAAAGTAAATTTCTTTACTCTCAAAACACTCTACTTAATGTATATATATATATATGTAAATGATTGTTGCTAATAAAACGTCCATCAAGTTTTTCGATCCATTATTTGTTATGTCTCGTCGCGCACTCACGATAAGGAGAATTCATCAGCACGCGCGAAACCTTCGCGAATTTTTACGTAACATTTGGAATACGTTTGAATCAATTCTCATCGCTGTTCTGACAACTCTATTATGACCCTAGGCGAGGTTGATGAGAAAAAAAATAATAAATAAATTTTCCCGCTTTATAAATTCAAACGACATCACACAGAGGACATTCAATAATTGCCATTTCAAATAATTGATGCAATTTAAACCACATTATTTTATTATTAAATACTTTACTGATCAACTGGTTGCCTATACATCTAGACTCATAGAATTCTGAAGCTAAGGAATTAACACAAAAAGTATCCGACATTAATGATTAAATAATTATTTAATCTATTGCATAATAAATTATGAAATATAATTGATAATGTGCTTTAACAAAAATTTAAAATTGGCGCCAGTGTTAGGGAATTTAGTTTTACAGTTTTAACGGATGCGAGTCACCAACATTTGTTTCCGGATCTGACATGTTCTTTTTACAGTGAACTCTCGTTGATTGTAGAGGTGAGTGTTTGAGTTTTTGTAATATTGTTAATAAATAAGTAAATTATCGCGAAATATATCGTAAATTTATCATCGCAGCATATAATTTATATATAATTAATGTTCGTTTAATGTAAAGTTGCAGCTTTACTGAATCAAAACAAGTGTCAAACAGACGCCACACATGGTTAAGTTACATTATTTACTGATTTCAGGTTAACAAGTCTCTTGACAAAGCAGCAAACATGCAGTTGCTATTCCGTGGACAGTCTACCCATGTTCTCGAGTGCCAAGGCACCGAAACAATTGCCCAAATCAAGGTGAGTTTATTGTGCCTTTTTGTTAGGTTATATTTATTGATTTTCCGTTTGTTGTTTTTAGGCCCAAATCGCCGGTTTGGAGCAATTGCAAGCTAGCGATATTAGCTTGTATGCCCAAGGTACCCCAGTCGCTGACGACAGCTTGGTTTCTGCCTTCGAAACTGAAATTGAATTGACTGTTGGTCTTCTTGGAGGAAAAGTGCACGGTTCCCTTGCTCGTGCTGGTAAGTTTAACATCTGCATTATACATCAATAGCAATCTCCAGCTGGTTCTAATTTAACAATAATTTGATCCATCCTATAAGTTTGCAAGATTAAAAAGAGTCATTTATGTTTGAGACATACTTGTGTTGATTTTGTGCACTTGTATTTTAGGAATCTGATGATACAATAATTACTTTTTAATTTAATTGACCATTTTTTTTTCTTAAGAATATTTTTAACCAAACTTATTGTCTCTTAGGTAAGGTCAAGGGCCAAACCCCAAAGGTAGATAAGCAAGAAAAGAAGAAGAAGAAGACTGGCCGCGCCAAGAGGAGGATCCAATACAACAGGAGGTTCGTCAACGTTGTTGCCCAATTCGGCCGTCGCCGTGGACCCAACTCAAACTCTGCCTAAAGAGTTACATTAACTTTTATACAATGTGCAACGTTTAACATCTATGTTGGCTATTTAAATTTAGTTAATAAAAAAGAAAAAAGTATATTTATATTGATTCATTTATTCCAAATAATAGATTATATAAAAATTAATACGTTTGATTTGATTCTTAAACTAAAACATGTTGCCAAAGGCATCTGATTGGTTATATATTACTTAACATAAGTATTCCAATTGCCACCATCCTCTGGTAACAGATTATTTGTTACAAGCAGAATGATATTAACAATCTACCATATACCAACTCCTCCAGTGGTCAGCAATTTTCCAACAGCTGTTCCAGTTTGACCTAAGCAAAACCTATCCATTCCAAGGAAGCCAAGTTGAATGCTGTACAGCAGCGTAGTTATGAAATACTGTTCAGAGTATTTTTCCCAAAGAATATTTTTAACCAATCTTATTGTTTCTTAGGTAAGGTCAAGGGCCAAACCCTCTAAGGTAGATAAGCAACAAAAGAAGAAGAAAAGACTGACCTCCAATACAACAGGAGGTTCGTCAATGTTTTTGCCCAATTCGGCCGTCGTCATGGACCCAACTCAAACTCTGCCTAAAGCAGTGGTTTCCAAACTTGATGTTACTACGCACAGGAATGTATCTATACTTGCTGGATTCCCCAAACATTCCGCTTTCATATGCATATATTGGATTCATTCTATCTATTATAGTTTTCGAGTAAATCAATGAAATGTAAAATACTGCTTTTTCGAACGTTCTCATTTCAATTTT